TGCCGGGAAAGTTGAACAGTGCAATGGGACTACTTAAAACAGCCTTAAAAGCACTGGGTGGGTGGGGAACCTTCAAAAATTGGGAACTGAATTTAGCAAAGGCCACCTGGATGGTCAACACAAGAGGCTCCATCAATTGAGCTGGTCCTGGCCAGTCTGAGCCCTTGCACACAGTGGATGGAGGTAAAGTCCCTGTGGAGCACATGAGAGGTGTTTACACCTGGTTACGCTTGGTGGGTAATGCAGGAAGATGGGGAAACCTATTGTATACCACAAGGAGACCTAACTTTAAGTGAGAATTGCGTGTAAGGCCTTTATTGTATATGTATATGGTAAGGAAGATCTCAATTAGGCTATGATGTAGACGATAATAGAATAAGGGGTGGATAATGTCCTGGGTTGCAGTGTGGGGGTAGCCAATGGTATGTAGTCTACTGTCATCTCCACAAGGGTTAAAGTAAGTGGGGCAGTGATCGTTATCTCCTGGTCCCTGATGGCTCCCCCAGGGGCTGTCTCTGTTTAATGGGCTGTCTGGGACTCAGGCATCAGAGAGTTACATGGCCCATTGTGAGATGCCTCACCCCAGAGGGGGAGCCGAGTATTCCCACAGGGTTATAAGCTGGGGTTTGGATCAGCACAGAGGCCTTTTGCCTGCTGGATTCCCAGAGGACAGGGGGCTGCTGCAGAACCTTCAGGAGACGACCGGATCTGCAGGATCACTGCTCCAGCAGACCCATCACTCCAGGATGACTGCAGCCACCATTCAATCAGACTACTATAAATGTCCTGACTGACAGTGTCAGGTTACTTTCTGACTGTCAGTGATTTCTTTTGGGTTTTTTTTTTGTACCGTTGTATTTGTTCTTGGTTTGTTTGTTTTTCATATTAAATTGTACTTCTCAGAGTCTCTCACCGGTTTGCTTTCAAACCAGCACACCACTATGAGGATTCACATTGTCATCTATACATTGTATGCAGGAGAAAGAATAAATCCCCGTTAAACTACCAGTTTGCCCACAGTCTGCCCTATCAAGGCAAAGTGGAAACCTAAAATATTTTCCCTGAGATGTCCTGGTGATTAGCAACTCATTTTTGTGTATTGGCTTTTGGGACTTTATTGCCTGGCTTCAAAACACACATCTGCAGGACTTCTGCACTCACTGGACTGTGCCACTGACAATTTGCATCTTTGCACTTGTATTTTCCCTGAATACATGCTGACCACTACATTTTTTTCAGTTATGCCCCTGCAGTTGTTCAGATGCATCCACTTAGGAACCTGTCCATTGGTCCTTTGTGGTATATATGCATTGGTGAAACTTTCCTAGAAGAAAGGTCATTTGGCGTGGGGAAGGATGGTGTGGGTGGACTGGCTAGTGAAGACTTACAGCTGAAAGAAGTTGCAGGGAACCAGGGGAGATCTCCCATTCTTCACAAAGAAAAGTTAATTCTAGTGCTGGCCCAGTACCCTGCTCATTCATTTCGAAGTCTAGTTTAGTCTCCATAAAGCAACTCATACCCACGTGCTAGAAATACTTTGTAGAGTTAAAGCTAAAGGATAAATTTCATGGAAATTGGTGAATGTGCAATAGCTGTTTATTCTCCTCTGGAAAAAAAAAAAAGACAATCCATTTATATATTCAGACTGAGCATATTTGTAAAAGGGACAGTTCAGAGTAAGCTGGTTTACAATGCTACAGCAAGGGGGAACAGCAGAAAGAGGGACACGAGCTGAGCCAAGGGGGACAGTTTACAGGAAGACAGGCTGAGCAGACCAGGACAGGACACAGTAAAAACCGCAGACAACTTGGGGAACTTCATCAGGGCTGACACGGGTACCATGTGGGAAGAGACACTGAACATGTCAACTAACCTGACCTAATGATACTGCCAATATTGATCCCACACAAAATTTCACATGAAACTCACATCTAAGACACTGCTAGGAAGAGGATAGAAAACAGAAAAAGGGTTGGAGACTCCTCTTTGTAGGCAGATGTGGGAAGACACTCTCTAATATGGTGTTTCAGAATAAGCAATTCAGCATCAAGTGGGAGAAGACTTGAAATAAGGTACAGAAATTGAACAAGGATGTGCCATAAAGCCCCTTGATATATACCAGGGGAAAACTAGGAGTCAGTTCAGTACTATGCCAATGGACAACACCTTTCATTTTATCTTACAGTATTTTACTTTTCTGCTGGGGAAAACATGCCCAAAAATAGCTGCTTTGAAGGCTTGACAGTTCAGATACTCAAGAAGTCTGGCCTCCTAGATAAAGGGGACCACCTCGGGTCCACTTCACAGTAAAAAATAAAATTAAAAAAAAATATTCATTTACACTGTGTAAATCTGTAAGATTTAGAGTATGTTGTAAGAGTAAGATCTACTAAATAAATTAGGTGTGTGGTACTAGAGACAGAAATAAGTTATCAGCATGATTCATGAAAAATCTTTACTGGAATAAAAGTAACTCCTATTTAACTGTACTACTCTGCAGGATCACAATATTCAAATCCTTGATGCTTTGCAGGATTGATAACTAAATTTTCTACAAACTGCAGGAGTTGTGCAGCCTCCCATTATGAAGTCTAGTGGACAGAATAAAAAGTTAGCCGGAAGCACATTTCCCAGGTTGAAAAATATTATTTAGTTGAGAAATGTGACCTACATATATTTGAGACATTATTGTATATCACACTTCTGGAGAAACAGTCACTAAGCTACCTGTTATTAGCAGTTTCTACAAATTTTCTAACTTCAGAAATACAGAAAAGATTGTCTCAAGATTTCAATACTTCTGTAACATAAATTTTTCAAGTTAACAGTATAATGGTTTATAATATAGAGAGTGTTAGATAAAACAAAATATACACAGGCTAAATAAATGGTATTCAGCTTATGAAAGGCATCAAGAAAAGCACCAATATACCAGGAAAAAAATAAAGTTGACTCAGGACTTAAAAGGAAAAAAAATTAATCAGTATAACACACTAGACGTGACGGCTAATGGACCCAAACACGCAGGATAGCTTGCTCCTATGGGAAAACATAACTGTGCATCTCTGGAGAGAGAAGAAAGACCCACATCACTTTAGAGAGTGATTTAGAGGAGAGGTGCTCAGTGCCACTGAGACTGGGAGCAGTAGCTGCCCACCCCAGCTGAGGAGCCAGAACACCTCACTACTTTTGAAAGACTTGGCAGGAACACCATGGTGCAAGGGTGGGCACCATCCTGCTAGATGCAGGTAGATCTACTGATGTGCTTTCCGTACCTCACCCTATACCTTAAGCATGGCTGATGCAGGGGAGACAAAGCCCCTCTCACTTCCCCTTCTAGCCATCAAAATACTATTGACTTAGCTTCTCCCAAAGTGATAGTCCTTCAGTCTTGGTCCTCACTCTTTGCCTGGTTCTCCATTTCAACAGGAGGGGAAGACCTGGCTTCCTGGGGTCACCCGAGAACAGTGCCCCATAGTATCAACAGAAGTCAAATTGCTCAGTAGTCAATGTCCATAGCCTGTTCAAGGACTTGTCTCCGCATGGGTAACTTCTACACAAGGAAAGTTGGCTTGTGTTAGGTCTTTACAGCTGCAGAACCTTAGTTTCACCTCCCTCTCAGCTCCTCCCAGTCTACCCCTTTGTGTAAGACCTCATGATGCACACAAATAACTTCCCATAATAATTCTGACCATCTCTGTGCTTCCTGCTTTATCAGGAGCTGCTCTCCCTGCAGCAAGGTGGCAATTGAAATTTGTGCTTTTGCCAAGTGCCTAGCTTTTCATCTGACAGTAGTCATGATGGGGACATAGCATGGAAATACACAAGCTGTGACAATAATAATGGCATAATGGAGCATGTGGCTACTTGGAAAACAGAGGGGAATAATTTTCCACTGTTGCTGTATCACAATCCCAATAACACAACTGAACTGCAGGACTCAAGACTTGAGGGGAGAGATCCTCTCTAACACCACAGGTATCTAGGCACCCCTACAAACCACGTCAGTCTAACACAGAAGAAGGAGCAGGTCGGATGCAGCAATTAGGACGCCTAAAATTCTGCAGCATGGACTGGAACATGCTGTGCTGCCTTCCTTTCAGTTTTTTATTTGAGGATGTATCTGAGGAAATGGATTTCCGGGTCTGACTGTTCCGGGCCTGGATCAGTTTCTCATGTTCCCGTATTTGTCTCTGTAAGTGGTTCTGGATGGCAATTCCAAGGGACTCTGGATCGAGGGAAGCACCGTAAACCTCCCACGTCATTCCCTGCTCATCCCAAACAACATCCCTGATGTGTTTTGACTGCTTCACCTGTACTTTTGCCTCCATCACTGGAGTGGGCTGCTTTTTGTTTTCCCCCAGGTTCAGCAAGGCCTGAGCTGAAGCAGGAATCACTGCTGTGTTAAGCTCATGCCTGGACTCCCTGGCCTGGAGGCCTTGCTGCTGGGGAGTTGCCAATGCTGCCACAGGAAAGGCAAGACCTGCAGAACTCACACTCAACTCAGGCATCAGTCCTCCCTTCAGGTTCTGGCCACCAGCTGTCTGAGACTGGCCAGTGTCTCCCTGGCCTCTGCTCTCCCTCTCAACTGCATCCTCCAAGCATGCCTCTACATGGACAGCAGCAGGCTGGCTGCTAACATGCTTCCCTCCTTTAAGATCAAGCACCACTGAATTTTCCTTCTTTGGTTTTACCACAGATTGATTAGGAATAGCCTCCCCTTGACTCACACCCTTACTTTGCACAGGCTTTGTCTCAGAGCTGCCTGGGCCTTCCTTCTGCTTGACTTCACTGTCTCTGCTACGAAGTAAAGCTAACTGGCTGCTTCCCACGTCATGGACAAGATCTTGCATGCTGTTTTCAGTTCCTGTGACAGCATCAGGGGAAGTGGTGCTTGGTTCACCAGCAGTCTCAGACTGTGATGGAGTTTGATTAGTGGAGTCAACAGCAAACTGCTCAACTGGGATAGGCTCTGGTGGGACTGGAGCATCCACTGGCACCTGAGCAACATCCTTGCCATCACGGGCTACACTGGTCATTTCAGTATTACTCACACATGTCCCTTGGGAGATAATGGTTGTAGGGGAGAAGGGGAGAACAGTTTTTGCATTATCTGGTGACACTGGAGACACCATGTCAGATGGGACCCCAGGCAATTTGACAGGCTGGGTTTGGGCTGAAGCAGTCACAGCCATAACAACAGTTGATTTTGATGTGATACCAGGAGAACACGGGGCCTTTTGCTGTGAGGATAAACTGTCAGTAAGTGCGGCCTGGCTCAGCCCCATACCAACTTGGTGAATTATGTGCAGTTCTTCCTTCTCCTCTGGAGGAGGATTCCCCTTTAAGAAGGCAGCAAGGATGCTGGGACTGGTGGAGGCTGATTTGCTCTCCACGGTAGCCACAGCCTGAACCTCAGCATCTCGCCATGTCCTGCTTACAGTTTCCTGAGTAAAGCTGCTCTCTGGCTGAACCGTCATTGTACCCATTTCTTTGAATTTGGAGAGCCAGGTGGGGACTGGAATCCCTGGCTTGGGGTCCGTGTTGTGTACAGGATGTGGAATCTTGTGGATAGACTGGGCTGGTGGCTCAGTGCTCTGCACTGCTTCAGTTTTATCTGTCGGATGCAAGTGTGCCATGTCTGCAGTCCCACTTTTTGCCTCCAAACTGGTCTGTAGGTCTCTCCCCAGGTCAGCTTGAATTTGCCTCACTGGCAAGGCTGACTGACATGCAGCAGAAACATTTTTTTTTGATCCCCTGTCTCTTTCCCCTCTTTGCAGAAGGTTTGCCTGAGAAGTATGACAAGATTCATTAACCATGATAGCGTCATCTGGGGAAGAATAATTTAACACCTCAAGTGCTGGCTGATCATCAGTCCCCTGAGGTTTCAAGGCAGAATCATCTCTTTGCATCAGGGAGCTTGTTTTTGCCTGGTTGCCTCGCACAAACTGCCGGGAACTCTGGGGGGCTGGCATCATCTCTGGCCCTTGCCCCACCAAGGGGGCTCCTGCTGCGGTAAGGGCTGGTGCTGCTGATGCCTGGCTGCCTGCTGGCCAGGAACAACCAGCAGGCTTTATAGCTGCAGGATGCTCCTCTGCAGCTGTGCTGGTGAGCCTGGGAGGAAAGGTTTCCTGCTTCCTTATGGCACTGCTCACACCTCTATGGACTTGTAGCTGCTATGCATTTCAGGTTGAATGAGCAAAATCCAGCTGAGCTGGACTGTATGCATGGGAAGCCATTGGTGGTCCTCTTGCCACTGAGTAGTTGGGGCTGGTGCTTAGCAGAGTGCAGGTCTACCAGGTGGTCCTCCTCCGCAGCAGCTGAGACCAGAGAAAGCTTGTCAGATCTCAGAGCATCTCGTACAGTCCCCATGGACTGTCTCAGAGGTGTTGTTTGTCCTCAGCTTCTCCTCAGAGTTTTCTCGCTGGGCAGGCTGTTGGTGACAGGTTTCCTGTGAAGCTAATCTGTTAATGAAACAAACACAGTGTTTAGAGCAGTCAGATTTAAGAAGAAAAAGTACCCAGAACAAACTGATTTTATGACATGAAGCAGAATACTTGCAGGCAAAGGGAAAAGTGAAGCATCCAATTCTGTCATGCAGAGGACGTGAATTTCAAGGATCTCCCAATTCTGAAGTCAGAATGAAGAAAACAATACCAGGGACAAAACAACAACAGCTGCTCTGCAGTTGATACATTAATGAAAACACAATGACATGCCAAGAGGAAGGAAAAAACAAGGTCAGCAAGACCTATTTTGTGGTGTTGTTTTTAATTGCTTAAGCATTCCTTAAACTGTTGCTGAAGTTACAGCTCCTCTGCTAGCCAGGCCCCAATATATCCCCCTTTTTCTTTAAAAACTATAGCTAAGCTACGTCACACTAGCACTTACATATATTGTATCTAACACACTATAATTAATAATAATAGTAGAATACAGATTAAAACTGGAGCCACCCAATGACACAATTGTCACAGCCACCCTGTCAATCCTAAGCTTTGTAGCCAATCATCAAAAGGATTGTGCTCTGCAGTTATTTTATTTATGTACTCTTGTAATTATTTCAGTTGCTTAAGGATGCTGACCCAATGATTGAACAGGTTCATACAACACATTCCTTCAAATTCCTCACAACCACGTCTTTGAGCTAACAACAAAAATCAATAGCAGCACGATCTATGCCTGATCACTCTCTCCATAAAAAAATCTCTTCCTAATATCTAACCTAACCCTCCCCTGGCAGGCTCTCTTTCTGCCTGGTGCTCTCCAGCCACTCTGTCCCAGCCTGGAGCTCTGCATGGGATTGTTATGGCCAAAGTGCAGGACCAGCACTTGGCCTTGTTAAACCTCATCCCATTGGAATCAGCTCATCTCTCCAGCCTATCCAGGTCCCTCTGCAGAGCCCTCCTGCCTTCCAGCAGATCCACACTCCACCCAACTTTGTGTCATCTGCAAACTTGCTGATGGTGCACTTAATCCCCTCTGCCAAAAAGAGATGGCTGCCAATTAGCCCGACAGCTACTGAGGATTTATCTAGTAATATTCTGTGCACACTGAAAAACCCTATTTTTTCTGGTTGTTGACTCCTCTCATTTGCATCTCTCTGCCAGGTATAGGCCTTAACTCTGCAGAGTGCAGAGCACAGGAACTCCACTCTAGAATGATATTGCTCAGCTTAACATGCTGCCCACAACTGGTAATGAGAAAATGGGTAAAGTCAGTCCTACCAAATGGTACAGTGTCCATTGAGACTAATCCAAAGCAAAACAAACTGCTTTGCACCTTCCTTCATTTCTCACAGCTTCTGGCAAACCCTAAGTACACTCTGCCAAGAGGTCACAGTGACCTTACTGCAAAAGATATAGTCTACTCAACTAAAAGCAAAAGCATTTCTGATTGATATTAAATGCATTTTAAAATCTAACATTTACAGTATTTTCTCACTGCAGCATGCAGATCGCATTGGTGGACTTTTTTCCTGCAGGTAGCTCTCGTACATGATCCTTTTAAATCTATGCTCTTGGTGCTCCCTAGACTCTTCCTTAATTCCTTTGAGTTAATTCCAGAAAGTGCAGTGTCCAGCAGGCTGTAGAAGAGCCTCTCCAAAACTGGATCTGGTTAGGGTTAGGGTCATTAGGGTTAGGGTTAATGGCCATTAGGGTTAGGGTTGTTAGGGTTATGGTCATTAGGGTTACAGATTAGGCTTAGAGTTAGTCATTAAGGGTCATTTGGGTTAGCAGCCATGAGGGTTAGGGTTAGGTTCATTAGGGTTCGGGTTATTGTTAGGGTTCAGGGTTACGATTAGGGGCTAGGGTTAGTATCAGGGTTTAGGGTTAGGGTCATTAGGGTTAAGGTCATTAGGGCTAGGGTTAGCATTAGAGTTAGCCATTACCGTTAGGGGTTAGGGGTTTGGGTTAGCCATTATGGTTGGTGGTTAGGGTTATGCATTAGGGTTAGGTTTAGGTCATTAGGGTTAGGGTTTAGGGTTAGGGTCATTAGGCTTAGGGAGCCTGTGTGCTGTTAGCAACACCATGATGATAGTTGCATTTTGTTTTTCATCTCTGTCAGCAAGTCATTGTATTGTAAGGGATCACATCTTTTTCTGTACCCTGATGTGATACTGTGGTCCCATCAGGGGCTTCCACTTAGACCTTTCCCAGCATGAAAGTTGGGCTAGGTGTAGAGGTCACTGTTCCCATGCCATGGCCAAAGGCAGCAGGCTGGCATGTGCTGTGGATGTGCTGCAAGAGCATCTTGTTTTTGTGGGAGTAAGGACCAAGTGGTTACAGATTTATGGGGGCACCTTGGTTCCGCAAAGCCTTTCATGTGTCCAGAAGGGAAATTGAGATTGCCTTGGGCTCCAACACTTTAAAGCAGGAAAAAAGCCCAGTGTTTAGAAGTGGTAGAAAATACAATATCCAGAAGATTGCAAGAAGTCAACATGTGGAATAGATTGAAAATCCTGGTTTAAATTAAAAAATGTGGTATCATCTGTTGCCGTTGAAGTTTTGAGCCTTCAAAGCTCACTTCTTTCTCCCAAATTAAAAGCCTTTTCTGAGAGAAGCTGAGATCCTCATACAATCACAGCCTTTAAGACCTCTCAAAAGAGTCCCACACATGGTCAGAGGTGGGTAGTGTGGGAAGGAAGCACAGGAGGGCTGGGTGACAGCCTGTACATGCATCCCCTCTCCACACCTCTCTCCAAACCACGCACTTCTCTGCCCACCAACCCCTTCCTGCCCCTCTACTTCCCCACTCCATCCACGCTCCCAAGCATCCTCCCTGCTGGCAGACAGGTGCCTTGGGCAGCCGCAGGGGCTCCTCTCTCTGCACACATCCTCCCAGAAATACAGTGCCTGATAACAAGGATTTCTTTGGTAAGGCATGAAAGTATGCAAAAGTC